AGCTAGGCAGGCCCTTCCTCTACCAGGCATGCTCACCTCTGGACTGCAAAATGAGGACAGTTAGTGACACAGTCACCTAGAAGCTGCTTTACTAAATAAAATGCATGGACTCCTCTCTCTCTCTCCAGGGCCCTCAGAGTAACTCTAAGCAAGAGGAACGCCCGAGGCCTTCGCCTTCAGGTTGGGCCTGATTCACCTATGGCTCAGAGATAAGTTACCTCCTAAACCCTTCTTCCTCCTGAGTCACCTTAAGTTCCAGGAAGAGTAAAACCTCCCAAGACAGACCCCCACCCCCATCTCCACCCCCACAGATGAGGACAATTATCCAGGGCTGCACCCTTAGAGACTAACAGACTTCCAACTTACCAGGCCAGCTTGCAAGACCACAGCAGAGGCAAGAATGAGTCAACAGTGTCCCGGAGCACACCTTGACCAGGACTGCTTCATTATGCATGCTTTCTTTCTCTCTGTTTAAACCTAAACCTCAGGTCAGTACCCCAAAGACAAACTCGGGATCTGTCTTGATATGTTCCTCTTCCCAGTGCGGCCACATTGGGTACACTGCCTTCCTCTATTTTACTGGTCTTTGTTGTCCGCACATCTGGATGGGTGTCCAAACCTACTGAGAGGATCCGGTAAGCTTACAGGTGAGGTGTAGAGGCTCAGCCCAGCGATGGAATGCCATCCTCACGCTTGCTGAGGCCTGCCTCCGACATCTAGTCACATCCAGCCACGGAGAAGAAGGAAGGTTCAGAGGATGGAGCATAAGGAACAGAGACAGCAGAGAATGGCAAATGAAAGCCAATGGGCAGGAGACCAAGAGAAGGAGGTGGCTTGGGAACAGGGGCCTCCTGTAGGAAAAAAAAATGCAACCACCCCCCACCAACTCAGAATGCTTGATTTTTGTAGACCTGCACATCAAGGATTACCTGGAACAAGTCACCCCCCCCCTCACTGACCCCAGGGGGCCCTTCAGATCCTCCAGGCTAAGTAAGAGTTTAGGGCCCTCAGAACCCTCCCACCAATTCACCCTGCACCTTCTGCACACTACTCTAACCACAGGCTTACAGAATATTTTAAACTAAGGTTCTCCACCTCACCCTGACTCCCTCCCCACCCCACCCCACCCCACCCCCGCCTTCTCTGGCCTCAAGTCATAGTAGCTGAGGAGGCCCTAAAGCTTCGATCCTCCTGCCTGGGTCTCTAATGGAGTGCTGGGATCACTGGTATGTGCCATCACCCCAGGATGAAGTGATGCTTCTCCCCTGCACGCTAGGCAAGCCCACTACCCACTGGGCTACACCCCCGGTCCCGGACTCTGAGATTCCAATGTGTAAATTGAACTAGATCATTGGTTGACAGGTTTCCCTCCTGACACCTCCCAAATGTACATGTAAATTAACCGTTCCCCAAGGAGTCAGCATACCAAAGACCCCCTCAGGATGTCACCAACATCTCTCCTCCCCCACACTTGGCCTGACAAAAGAATGGATTCTTTCATTTGTTTTTCTGCTTCCTTCATTTAGGTTTTTTGGGTTCTGCTTTATTTTAGAACTGGAGTAAACAGCAAGACAGCTAAATACAATAGCTCTGAAGACTCAGGCCTACAGTGCAGTTTTCTAGAACTTGCTTAAGACTCACTCAGAGGCTCTTTCTACACAATGGGCATCTTCTGTGAGTGCTGGGAACTGAGGACACACTGCAGAGGCCACAGGGACAGAGGAAGCTCGGGTTTTGGGGGGAGGTGTGTGTCTTGCAGGATCCTGGGAACAATAAGCGATTACCCCACTTCTTCCTGGTTAGTAACTCTGGAGGCCTGGCTCAGTCTTAGAGGCCCTCAGCTAGTGGAGGCCAAAATAAATGCCCATTACAATTTGCCACAAGGATAATCAGTCCTGGGAAAGAAAAAAAAAAAAAAAGCTTTTCCTATCCAACCATATCGAAATAAACTTGGCGATTCCCACTCTTAAAACCAAGTACTCTCCCCAACCAAGAAACTGACAAGGGGCAGAGGATGGTAAGGAGAGAACAACCACACAGGACTCTTAACCAACTCTGCACTTCTGGGCAGACATCCACGGAAGCAGCTCACAGGGAGAGGTGCCATGCTTTGAAAATCTAGGCCCGGCCACACTGAAGAGTTATCTAAAGGAAAGGCCCATTTCCCAAGCACACCAAGGCTGACTGCTCAGGGCTCACAAACATTTCACAATTTGCCGTTACCTTGGAAGCACCTGGATTTTGGTTTGCCTGATGAAATTGCCCAAATGGGTAGCTTCTGCTGGTTCATTAACACCCTCATAAAGCACTCCTGTTATAAGGGATATTTCAATGGGACTTCCGTATTTAAAAAGTACATACTTCTCTTTTGACTGTGACACAATTATGTTCTTAGCACCCACTTAGTAATTAACAGGCACTGAAGACCGAATTCAGCTACTGATCCCACTCTCCAGACACGCACAGCAGGGATTTCCATGAGTCATTCTCTCTTCATCCACGATTTCTGTGTTGACTTACTAGTGTTTATGTATTCTATCACTACTTTATTTCCACGCTTTAGACTGTTTTCTTATTCTCTAAGTATTTTATTAACAATTACCCGAAAGCAACTATTTTGGTGCTTAACTGTGCATGCACTGAATTAATTTACTAGTAAAATGTGTTCGAGCGAACTCAAATATTCATACCTTGTTTACTGAATTATAACTAATTAATTCACTAATAACTCTGCACCACCACCTTCCCTAGGTTATAACTAATAAATTCCACCCCCACCCCCAGACTCCCCACATTAGAGAAAGTGGGAGGCACCTCTTACTGTTCAGCACTATCAGAAATGGGGTTCTGCTCTTCTACCTAAAAAATGACTATTGGGCTGGGGTCAGCTCAGTCATTGTCACTAACAAGGTACAAGCCATTGGTCAAACCCTTTTGATGGCTGTAGAATCCCACAAATAAAAACACAAAATGAAGGAAACTGTGCCTCGTGTTTCCACAAGAAGGGAGTAACCCAAATGTCACCTGCGCCTTCATACATTCCCAAAAGATGCAGTTTTTAATACACACTTGGAGGACAGCTCTCTATTGGTGGCAAGATCCATCCTTTTAACAGGAGACCTCCCCACTAGAAACGTACAAGGCAAGGCAACCAGGACTCTCCTCCTGCAGTTTACTAACGAATGCCCAATGTTTGTCCCAAAGAAAATGGAGATTACATAAAGGATAGGAAAATGTTTGGGCCACACTGACCTTCTCTCTCTCTCTCTCTCTCTCTCTCTCTCTCCCCCCGGCTTCACACTCAACTCTAAGGCGAGTAGGAGCAACTATTTTCTTTTCTCTTGCATCTGCTCTTTGAATAACAGGTTTGATCTTCTAGGGCCCCACCCCATCTTTTAACTCAGCCAAAGCACACTCGGCTACGACTAACTCAACAGTGCTGGAATCTGCCAGCCAAAGGAAAGCAAATACTCAGAGTGCCACCTGACAATCCTCCTCCCCAGACAGCACTCAGTACGACTTGCATTTTTTGCCAGCAAACCCCCTACACACACACACACACACACACACACACACACACACACACACACACACACACACACACCCAGCCCACACCCTCCTAAAGGATGCAATAAGATGCTATCAAACCAGTATTCTCAGAGACTGAAAATTCACAGAGCGGCTTCTGGGCAAGAACCAGATAAGGCGTCTGCTTGTTGAACTTCAGACTGTCTGTCACCACTTTAAAAACCCGTTCACTGGTTTTCCTGGAATTCCCACTGAGCATCTTATACATCTGAAAGGCTTAGAAAAAAGATTGAATTTTAAATTCAAAATGCATGGTGTACATACACGGCATACGTACTTAAAATTTCTATCATCGGTAAATGTGTCTTTTAGTATATATTTTAAAGCACGGATAGAAATCTTTAACCCAGGGAAATGGGATACACGGAACTTCAAGATGTCCAGAAAGATGAGAGACAGGCTCTAGCTGCAGGGGAAAATATATATATATAAAAATAGAGCCGTAGTAGTCATTGAACATCTACTATTCATCAGGCAGTATGCTGAGCACTCCATACACATCGACCCAGGGCCTCTCATAAAATCCAAGATGCAAGACTTCTTACCCTGTTTTTCAAGTGACGAGATGGAGAATCACAAGGGGTGAATGACCTGGTCAAGGTAATTGCATACAGCCAGTTGAGGATCAGGGGTTTAAACCAGGCTAACACCTTTCCACTTCGGTGAAAACTACACATTGCATTGTTCCGAAAGAGATGCTGCTAAAAAACACCTATCCAGTGCGAAAAGGAGTACCTCAGAGTAAATGTCAGAGGGTTTTCGGATAAACTACACATCTGGCAATCTGAAATCTTCACATGGGTTAAGAAGTCTGAGTGTAAAAACCCTATCCATCCAACCTGCTACTAAACTTCATCCTCGGTGTATAAGAACTACTTTCCAGAATTAAGGCAAACCCACGGGCGGTTTTAGTCACCGGACAATTCAAAAACTCCTATCAACACACTCAGCAATATACGTCCTATTGTTTTCAAATCCCAAACATATAAAACAAATATCCTGTAATTCTACAAACTGGAAGAGCTGCGGGCGGAGCAAGTAAACACTGTGGTAGTTCTGCATAAGGAAATGGTTGTTTTCCTCTCGTGGGCACACGACAAGCCTTGTGCGGATAAACATCAGCACCGTGAGGCCATGAGGAGTCCACCCGCCAAATATTTACAAGCAGTGTTTACATCTCTTCCTGGCTTTTTCCACGCCAACTTTTCTAAGCAGGTGTCCCTGATTACAGCCGATTGTTCAAAAGGTGCCTCTGATGTGACCGGTGGGTGGTTATTTATTTAATTTCTTTCTTTTTAAATTACAGTTTGAAGCCCTATACCGAGAGAAAACGGCAGAGAGAAGAAAGGGTCCCCAACGGATGGGCTAGGGGCGAGCCCCGCTTCCAGCGCACGCCTCCCCAGGTAGCTCACCAGGATGCCCATCACGTCGGTCCAGAGGCGGGAGAACGCCTCGGATGTGCCGGCCTCGGGCTCAGGCTCAGGCTCAGGCTCAGGTTCCTGCACCGGTTCCACCTCGGGCTCGGGCTCCGGCGCCGGGCCCGCAGCTCCCGCGTCCTCCTCCATGACCGCGTCCCCGTGCGTCCGGGTCCCCGCGCTACCCACAGCCCGCAGCAGCGCGTCGGCCGCCGGGGCGCAAGGTCCCCGCCCGCGGCGTCACCGGGCCGCGCCCCCGCGTCGCATGCCCCAGGCTCCGCCGGGTACGAGCCCCACGGCCAGGACTCTGCACCTCGATTCGCGCTGACCGCGATTGACAACTCCAGAAACTTTTCCTGGCCGGGCGGGGCGCAGCAACAGGGTAGCTGGAGCAGAGTCGGCACCACTGGCTGCGGCGGGGAGCTCGCAGGGCGAGGGAGCCGGGAGCCCCACGGCACAGGAGCTGTGTCCTGCAATGGGGACCGTCTCCGGGCGGCACGCGACTCTCCCCTACCGGAGAGTCTCTGCGGGGCGGGACAGTGCACGGTGGCGCCTGGGAACCCGGGCTAGCCAGTCCAGTCGGACCCCTCTTCTCAGAATGAGCTCTTCCAACTCCACATGACTCCCTCCCCTCCAGGCTCAAGAAAGCGTTTAGCAACAAAAGGTGCTCTGATGTCAGGCGCTTTGCATGGAAATGAGCCCCGGTCCAGCCAACAAATCGCCTGTTGAAAGCGCAGCCGCGCGGGACCCCGCACAAGTCCCCAATCGCGCCATTCACCCCGCGCCTTCCGCCCCAGAAACAGCAGAAAGTTAATCTTTAAGCTGCTGGCTGAGTCCGAGTTCACGAGGAGTTAGTATGGTGACAACCAACCCACACCTCGCTCTCGGCAAGTGGAACAACCCAGGCAATTACAGCCCTGTCTGTCGGCCCAGGCTTCTTGGAAAACAAAGTGTGACAAAGCTCGCCCCGGCACGAGCCATTGTTTAGGTCCTCGGATGGGGGGGGGGGGGGCATTCTGGCTCCCAAGTGGCCTCAGTGCTGTGCACTTACAGGGTTTTCGGGTGATTAAGGGAGACCCTCTTTGGGTTGTAAGGGGTTTGTTTCTTTGTTTTTGTTTATTACACGAAAAGTTTTTTTTTTTTTTTCCATGAAAGACACAGGCAAGGGGTATGTTCAAAAAGTTGATTTTTATGGCCATTCAGCCCATGCACACTCCAGCCCTGTGTATGTTTTGCCAAGGGACAATCCCTGAGGGAAAAGGCCCTGGAGAGATTTTTTTTCCTGACTTCCCTCCCTTTTCTTCTCCTCCTCCTCCTCCTCCTTCTCCTCTTCCTCGTCTTCTTCTTCTTAATCTTCATCCTTCTTTTTTTCCCTCCTCCTTCACTACTCAGAGAATTTTTCCTAAGAGATGACAATTTGATTTCGTGACTGGTCACTTTGTGAAACTGAAGAAACCCAAGGAAATTTGTCCCTTACTAAGGACTTGGGTTAAAGGGTTGGGGTGGGCAAGGCATGAGATGAGGGACCCCAGGGACAGAAGAATTCTGAAGTTTCTCCTTTTCTTTCCTAGTTTACATACATGAAAGAAGTTGAGCATGTCCTCTACATCCTCTGGATTGATGCAGTTAAGCCAGATGGTTCCAGATTTCTCTGGTGCTGTTTGATGTTGAGACCTAAAACAAACTCCGCTAAGAAATGTGAGTTTGAAAAGAATTGGTCTTGGGGCTGGAGAGATGGCTCAGAGGTTAAAAGCACTGGCTACTCTTCTAGAGGTCCTGAGATCAATTCCCAGCAACCACATGGTGACTCACAACCATCTGTGATGAGATATAGTGCCCTCTACTGGCATGCAGGTGTACATGCAGGCAGAACACTGTATACATAATAAATAAATCTTTAAAAGAAGGAAAAGTAGCCTTGCCCCATGACTTAATGGGTATTTTAAGAATTTCGACTTGGGGAAACATAGAGCCCTATGTAGCCTGTTCTCCATGTAAAAACCTAGCAAGTGAGTTATGCAAGACAAAGAAGGAGCCCATCTCAGACACCAGTCAGGAGTCTTTTTCTTTTTGATTCAGATGACCTGGGGCCAAACATAGACCTTTCAATGCTTCAGTTTCCCCATACAAGAGGAGGCAAGGCCAAGCTAATTGCTACCCACAGAGGCTAGTATGTTTCCAGGTCGCCTAACCTATGAGACGCATCCATATGACTGCACATTAGCTGGCATTTGGCTACTTAGACCTATCTACCCTTTAATCTCCTCCACAGTAAGTTCCCTTTCCTGGCACTCCCTTCAACTTGCCTGAGGAAAAGAGATCAACAACATTCTGGGGGATTCATAGGTATCATAGTGATGATACCTATGTCTACACTGGCAAATGAGGTTTCTGTTGTATTGCCTAGTGGCCTCTCTACTTCTGGAACATAGATAATTTTGGCCATTTAAAAACAGAAGCAGGCGTGTGTGTGTGTCGGGGGGGGGGGGTTTGTTTGTCTGTTTTTGTAATGGCTTAAGCCTATATATCCCACACAGACAGAAAGATCAGGAGTTCAAGACTGGCTTTGGCTATGTGAAACCCTGTCTCGATAGATAGATAGATAGATAGATAGATAGATAGATAGATAGATAGATAGATAGATAGATAGATAGATAAGTTGAATCTCTTTCCTAATCTGTTTCCATAAATTAACTAAAAATGTAATTGATCATTGCCCTAATTCTCAGGCTTTTTAACAATTCCCTTTCCCTTCTCAAAGAACCAACATCATCCTCACCTTCATCTTCATCCATATTGATCTGTGTTTGATTCCCACAAACCTTGCCAAGGTAAGGCAAATATAGACTCTTGAGGGAGTACCCTAAGATCCTACATCCTCCATATTTGCCTTTCTACCCAGGTTCTCTTTCAGCTGGCTGGAACTGGGGATCTTGATAAACAGCTTTTTTTGTTTGTTGATATTATGTATCTGTGGTGGTTTGAAAAAGTGGCCCCATAGGCTCGTATGTTTGAATGCTTACTCACCAAGTGGCACTATTTGAAAGGATTAGAAGGATTAGGAGTTGAGGCTTCCTTAGAGTAGGTGTGGCCTTGTTGGAGAAGGAGTGGCCTTGATGGAGAAGGAGTGGCCTTGATGGAGAAGTTGTGCCACTAGGGGTAGGCTTTGAGATTTCAAAAGCCCAAGTCAGGTCCAGTGTCTGTCTGTCTGTCTGTCTTTCTCTCTCTCTCCCTCTCCCCTCTCCCTCTCTCCTCCTCTTCTCTTCTCTTCTCTTCTCTTCTCTTCCCTTCCCTTCCCTTTTCTCTTCTCTTCTCTTCTCTCTCCCTCTCTCCTCTCTCCTCTCTCCTCTCTCCCCTCCCCCCCTTGCAGACCAGAATGTTAGCTCTCAGCCACTGCTCCAACGCCATGCCATGCTCCCCACCATGATGATAATGAACTAAGCCTCTGAAACGGTAAGCAAACCCCAATTAAATGCTTTCTTATATAAGAGTCTCCATGGCCATGGTGTCTCTTCACAGCAATAGAATAGTGACTCAGACAGTGTCCCAGGCTGACTTTGAGCTACTATGTAGCAAAGGATGGCTCTGACCTCTTGTCTCCACCTCCCAAGTGCTAGGATTATAGGCATGGGCCATTACACCTGGTGTAATAAATTTTTACTGCAACACATGAGCAGAAATCTGTCAGAATGTATTCCTTGAGAATGTAGTCATCTCAGTAAGTTTATTGGAAATCACTGACATACTGTGTTATACATAACATGGGACTACATGTACATGTTTATACTGGCTTGCTTTGTACTTGTTCTTTCTCTGGGTCAGGATTACAAATTTTCAGGCCACTCCTCCAGAAGTTGCAAAGCTGTTAGGATTCTAGATGTGGCCTGAGTAAGGCATTATAACAACACAAGAAAAGTGTCTAGACTGTTGCGTGGTGGTGAAAGTTCAGTTTTACCATGAAAAGCACAGATATTATTTTGTCTTTTTTTTTTTCCCCACAGGAACTGAGGATGGAACCCAGGAACTTGTACTTGCTGGGCAAGTGCTCTACCACTGAGCTAAAGCCCCAACCCGGAAAGCACAAATATTAGTAATGAGACCAGTCAAAGTTAGGTTTAAAAACATTTGGCAAATTATTCATCTCATGTGTAAAAGAAGGAAATTCCACCTGTTTTCACAGTTCCCAGGTTATTGGTGCTTATGAAAGAATCTTTGACCGGTAGAACTTTGACCCCTTTCCCAGCCCTTCCCCCGCCCCCTCATCCTGTGAGGCTAGACCCAAGTTTCCTTGTTCATCATGCCTAAGGATCTTGGGTCACAAGAAGTCGGTCCTAGCCCTGGAATGTGGTCGCTGAGTCATAAAGCTGCCAGGTTACCTCTGGCCAGGTGTGGTCAACTTTCTGTTTGTTCTCTGTTGTTCTGGCTGTCTGTCTTTTTTGGTGTCTGTCTGTCTGTTTGTTCCTTTTTTGTGTGCTGAAGATCAAGCCAGCCTCTCACCGACCTGTATCTCCCATCCCTCTTCACAGTGACGATAATAAAAATAGCAGTTGTTTGTTTAAATTTACTTTCTCTTGGAAATTGTGCTTAAACATTAAAATACATTTCATAAACTTTGACATTTCTAAAATGGCACTTAGGATATCCCTTTACCACCCAATATGTCCACCCAGCTCCTTGTGTGTGTGTGTGTGTGTGTGTGTGTGTGTGTGTGTATGTATGTATGGGGAGTGGGAGGGTTATACATATCTACTCTCTGCCTAATTCCTTAAGGGTGGAGTCTCTCCCTGAACCTGAAACTCATGGTTTATTATTTGCTTTTCTTTTCCGATAGTCTGGCAGCCAGCAAACCCCAGTGATCCGCCTGTGTCTACACTCTATGGTGCTGGGGTCGGAGAGATACACAGATCCATCCCTGGATTGCTGTGTGGTTGCTGGGATCTGAACTCAGGTCCTCAGGCTTCCACAGCAAGCACTTTTACTTAACCATGGAACCAGCTCTCCAGTCCCATCCTTTTTTTTTTTTTTTCAATACTAGGGATGGAACCTAGCCTCACCCATGTTAGGCAATGGTTCCACCAGTGGGCTGTATCCCCTAACTCATTTCTTCCCACGTGAATCCTCCATTACATCTATCTGTCTGTCTAAGCTACCAGCTTCATCCTTTCCTTCCTTCCTCATTGCTTCCATCCAAAACAGAGATGAGCTCTGCCGACCTGAATCTGGGTCAAATTGATCTGCTTCCTTTCATCTTTACTATCAGCCTCTAAGACTGAGGATTATTATTTCCTACCACATTATCAATAACAGTTCTCCTCATAGTGAGGACACAATTACCAACATCAGTGACGTCATCTAGGAATTTGTTCTTCCTGTTGGTTTGGGATTTTTTTTTTTTTTTTTTTTTTAAATAGGGTCTCATTAAGTAGACTTAGCTGCCTTGGAACTCCCTAATGTAGACCAGACTGACCTTGAATTCACAGAACTCCACCTGCTTCTGCCTCCCAGTGCTGGGATGAAAAAGGGCTGCTCCACCACACCTTGGCCCAGCCATCTGTAGATTTCAATTCCCAGGGGATA